TAGTCCATTTTATCGGTAGAGGACAAGACTGAAGAGTATTTTCAAGGTCAGCTCTAATCGACTCACCAATAAATTTAATCATTGTGTATGGACAATTATTGCAAAAATTTCTATGTCTTCTAAAATGACCAACAACATTTTTCTTACAAAAACTACAACTCTTGTGATTTTGTAATATATGTGATTTTAGAGCCATGTTATTATCACAGATTATATCACAAACTTTGCACAGTTTCACCTTCATTTTATGTATTACCTTGTAGTGGCGAATCAGGTTACTTTTGTTGGAGAGCAACACGGAGCAGTGTTGACATGACGGCTTCATGTTTAGGAATGAGGTCTCGGGCTGATGCCACCTCTATATATAGACTTTTGGAAAATGTCAAAAAATTGTAACCAGATTTTAAGAGATTTCAAATTTTTTTACTAGAAATTAACAAATTTAACAAAATTCAACTAAACATTTATTCAACAGAAGGTCATCCACCCAAGACTTCATCAAGAGCTGCCACTAGAGACGAGAAGCTTGACCATGAGTCGGGAGCAAGAAGCCTGACCATGGCATGGAGTGCAGCCGCGGTCGGGAGCGCGCCTGAGGTCACGTGCAAACCTCAATCAATTTTGAGAATATACATGTGAATGGATGTGGATTTGAAATGAAACAATATAGATATAGTGTTATACAATGGTATTGAACATTTATATAGGCTTGTATAGGGCAAGAGTTGGATTTTTTAAAAAGTGGCTAAAAAAAAGCTCACCATTTCCAGACATGATTTTTAGTATTAAAAAGTAGAAAATTTATATAGGGGTGTATAGGTCGAGAGCTGGGTTTTTAAAAATAGTGGCCAAAAAAAGCTCTTCCATTTTTTTCTCATTTTTCCCCTATAAAAAGTGCCCTAAAAGTGCCTCTAAAACGCCGAAAGTGGGGTCATATTCTGGTATTATATCTACTCTAAATTTACACTTATGTGGGTCAATAAATAAATAAAATAGCTTTTAAAGCTTGATTTCAAATATATATATAGGGAATAAGTAGGAAATAAGGTTTTACAACTATATAGGGATTTGTGGGCAAAGATCAGGATTTTTGAAATTAGTGGCTAAAAAATGATCCTCAATTTTTCTCGTAGAAAAAGTGCAAAAATGCCAACATATAGCCTCTAAAACGTCTCCAGTGCCCCTATAAACATCTCCATATCCTCTAAAAATTGGCCAAAAAACGCCGAAAGTGGGGTCATATTGCTATATTATATCTACTAATATTCTCATCCTTCAAAATGACCAACGAAGAAACAAAGTATAAAACAGTCATGGACAAATTTGATGGGCACTTCAATCCAAAGAAGAATATTATTTATGAAAGAGCCAAATTTCTACGTAGAAAACAAGGACTAACAGAAACTGCAGAAGATTTTGTGACAGATTTATATTCTCTTGCTCGTACATGTGAATGGGGAACGCTTGAAGATGAAATGTTATTAATGGTCATTATTATTGGTATGCGTGATCAAGATTTGAGTGATAAACTACAATTAGAAAATAAAGTTACATTGGAATCTGCAATAACTTCACTTCGCAAATCAGAAGAATTGAAACGACAAAAAGAAGAATTGACCCTCCCATCAATCGAAGCTGTAAATAAAAATCAACGTGCTAGATATGATAATGCAATACGTTCATCCAAAAGAGAAAATAGGGATCAAGGGAGATTAACGTATTCAAGCTCAAATGTCAAGAGCTATCCCAACTCTTGTATTTGGTGTGGTTCAACCCCTTCTCATCGAAGAGGTCTGTGTCCAGCAAAAGATCGCAAATGTTCTAGGTGCAAGCGAAATGGCCACTTTTCACACTGTTGTCTTCAAAACAATGTTCGAGAAATAGACTTGGATCGTTCAGATGACTTTACCCAAATCGCTAATGAACCAGACCCATCGAAAAAATTCATTGGGTGTGTCCCCTACTTCTCGGTTAAAGATGAGATATCACTGATGGACAACTTACTTTTACGCAATTCTAGAATAATAGTACCATCAAGTCTTTGTCAAGAAATGCTTCATAGAATACACGTCGGTCATCTAGGAGCCACCAAATGTCGAGAAAAGGCTAGATTCAGTTTATGGTGGCCAGGAATGGCATCAGATATAAATATGATGGTAGCTTCATGCCCAACATGCATCAAACACAGAGAAAATCGAAATGAGCCGCTCATTCCTTCCGAGTTTCCAAAACGTCCATGGGAAAAGGCAGCAATGGATTTGTTCAAGCTTAATGGCAAATGGTTCATTGTTATAACAGATCAGTTCTCGAGATATTTTGAGATTGCAACTCTACAATCGCTCACTGCATCTGAAGTTATTGAGAAATGCAAGTCAACGTTTTCTCGCCACGGTATTCCTGAAGTTTTATACTCAGATAGTGGAACGCAGTTTGGCATCACTAGTGCAGAATTCAGAAAATTTGCCAAAGAGTACAACTTTTTATGCAAAACAAGCAGTCCTCAGTTTCATCAGAGCAATGGCTCAGCCGAAGCAGCTGTAAAAATTGCAAAAGCTGTTCTAAAGAAGAACAAAGGAGATCCATATTTAGCTTTGTTGTCTTACAGGAACTCTCCACTGGCCAACGGTTACAGTCCAGCACAGTTATTATACGGACGCAGACTACGGGACAATTTGCCTACCTTACCATGTCATCTGGAGAACAAGCCAGACTTCAGTCATCTCCGAGAGAAGGAGAATCATTATAGACAAAATTACAAACGAAATTACGATCGACGACATGGTGCTCGACCCTTATCAGATATGAAGCCAGGAACCAAAGTTTGGATATCTGATTTGAAACGTGAAGGAAAAGTCGTAGAAAAGTTAAACTCACCACGATCTTATAAAGTACTGACGGACAAAGGAACCATAGTTCGAAGAAACCGGTTTCACTTACAACCAATGCCAAACATTCAAAAGGAAAGTTACCACAACCATCTAATAGGCTACCTATCAACAAATAGTCAGAAGGATCATTGCCACAACCATCAACCATCAACAAGTAGTCAGAAGGATCATCGATCTGAGGAAGACAACGGTATGTGCTTAACAAACTTTTCAACAGATAACCGTAACAGTCAACCATTAACAAGAGGTCCGATGGATCATCATGAAGACATGCCAAACTTTTCAACGGTTCCTCCAAACACCTCTGGAATGTCTTCTGCTAACATAACAACCCGATCAAGACGACTTATAAAACCTCCCCAGAAACTCAACCTTTAAAGAGGGAGATGTAATGGTTGGCTCTACTGACTATTGTCATTTTAGTTTATTATCATGTGTTAATTGGTTTTTTTTACTTGGAGTTGATTGATACTAATAAAATACTTTTACCTAGATTATTCTATCACTAGCTGTAACCCGCGGGCTTTGCCCCGTTTAACTTCTTAATTTTCAAGATTATCTCGTTCGCATGGCTCAATCACGTCCTGGTTGAAGTTTGTTCGCTACGCTCACTCACCTTTAGGTTGGAGCTCGTTCGCTACGCTCACTCACCTTTAGGTTGGAGCTCGTTCGCTGCGCTCACTTGCCTTCAGGTTAGCTCGTTCGCTACGCTAACTCGCCTCCAGGTTGAAGTTCGTTCGCTACGCTCACTCACCTTTTGGTTGCAAATTAGCTGTTGTCATAAATGTAAAAGAAATAATAGTGCTGCACCCTGTTGGTAATTTTTGTAACTTTAATGCTATTGAACATCACAGAACAGAACCAACTTGTTTAATTGAAACAGCTGTTAAGATTCAATAATTTCATTTCTCATAAGGTTAACATGGGAAACTCCAGAGCCACTGGGGCGGAGCCCGAAAGGATTTTCGAAATAAGAATATGCCTATATGTTAATCGGGAATGTGAGCTATCATCATGCCAAATTTCAGCCCAATCCGACCAGTATTTTTCGCGTTCACTTGTCACAAACATACATCCATACATCCATACATCCATACATCCAAACTTTCTCATTTATAATATTAGTAGGATGATCAATTCTGATTTAATGGGTTTAATACAGCAGGTTTGCTGTGGTGGGGATTTGTTATTTCAAAAATACGAAGAACACTATAATCGAACTATTTTTCTCACCACCCTACCGGGTTAGAAATTAATTTCAAAAAACACTAAAAATTATATAACCTTTACTGAATTTTGTGTTTTGTTAACAATTTGTTTCTTGTTATTTCAATCATTTTGAACCTCGTTTAACCAAATAAAACGATCTAATCATAGACAATAACTCGTCCCCTAGCGATAATACCAAACAGTAAAGCACAAATAAATCACAAAATTATCTAAGATAACAAAAACAAAATATCGTCGACACTTAGCAAGATTTACGAAAGATAATTATAAAAATTTACGATGGGATGAAATGACTATATACTTGTTTATGGGTTTATCTATGCCAAAACAAAAGGAATTTAATTTCAGGAATTTAATTCTTTATATTGGTAAGAAACCTTGTACCATTCTCCCATTTTAGTTTTTATTTTAGCTGTAGTTGTACTGACGTTTTCCAGTAATGTAACTGCATTTTATGGAAATAAAAATGCTTGATTCTTGAAAACCATGATGGTTTTCAGAGACATGGTTAGGTACTGTTGGCGTTATCGGTAATGTATTCAATTCAATACGTCTAATATGAGAGTCTCTTGTTTTGTTAGTATGATTCGATGGGTGGATTGTGGATTACATATGACCGATAGCAATGATACATCGGATACATCATCGCTGACATCGTGACATCTCATTCTCTGTCGGCTATATGGGAATATTTCAGTTTTGAAATTTGAAATGTCGACCATATGGGACCGCACGGGTTCGATCCAATTCAACTTTACTCCACAGCCTCATGACTAAACACCCAGTTCACCTTCCGTGGCCTTTTTTCATAATGCCCCTTTTTGCTGTTTTTATTTTTCTAATCTAAACCTAACCTATCAAAACTAACCTCAAAACGTAATATCCCATTTATTCCACATCTGTACCTTCACCTTTAGTTTAGTTAAAACAGTTTTATGATATTCTTACAGAATGAGTACTGCAGTTCACTAGTTCAATTTTAAAGGTAATGGTTACTAACTAGGCATAAAACCCTTCACTTAAGCCATTGGAATGCGTTCTCAGTATGATTAGGTAGCCTATTAAACTAGACCTACAGTATTTAATCTTTAATCCTTTACTGTTGGCCTTGGCAAGTCTGGAGGATTTGTGTGTTTACCAAAACACTTGGCCCATTTATTTCAAACACTTTTCAAAGCAGTACCGGTAGGCATATGAAGGCCCATTAGTGACGGCTTCCAAAACACTGTTTTCAACTGCCGATTTACAGATTTAGGAATGGATTAGGCCTACCGTAACCTTACTGATGAACGCAAGCTTGTCCAACCGTAACATTAACATGGGATGGGTCAGATAATCCGTACGTAACTTACCTTAATCTAAGTTATATTATCATAGGCTCTTGGGATGATCATCGATAAGTTTATGTCAACCATCGATGTACCGATAACTTAAAAACATCAACGTTTTCGGGGCTATGTTTTTTTCAGTATTTTGTCTGCTCTCTGTGCTACAAAGGCCTAGCTAATTAACCTACAGTAAGTTAATGCAATTCAGTCATGGAAAACATCAATATTTCAATAACTTCCCTACTTGGTCAAAAACATCGATGTTCGACGAAAACATTGGTAAACTCTACTATCGATGTAAAAAACATTGAACATCGACAGAGAAACATTGATGTTTCGAAAACAACTACTGTCGATGCTCATCCCTAGCTCTAGGCTAAACAGTTTCAGGTTTTCCAATCAAAAATTCTTGGTTCCTTCATCTTTGACCAACAAGGTTGGATAGATTGCGTCTTATTTACAATATATATTTACAAAAAAACACACAACAAAGCAAAAATGAGAGGTGTGGCGGTATTATTTAAAAATACTAGAGGCTCGTCAAACATTTCTTGCCAGGAATATTACAGTTAACTGAGCAAACTCTGGCTTAGCGTTTACTTAAATCACTTTTTGTCAAGAGCAAACTCCTTTTGGCAGCGTAATAAAAAGTCAAATATGTAGCCATGGGTAGAAGTTCAGACTGTGACTGAGTTGGCAGCAGGGCAGGTCAAGATCAAATGCTCTGCGCGTCCCGTAATCATGCTGCACACTTCTAGTCATGAAGGATGACTCATTTTCTTTCAGGAGGGCTAGGATGTTAAGCACATATTGGGTATGTATGGTCAGGATACCAAGCTCCTTGAAAATTTGCTGACAATGGTCAGTTTTACTCGACGATGTTATTATTCGTACGGCCTTCTTTTGAAGTAGCAGCAGACTTTGGGTAGCGGGGCTATGCCCCCACAATGCCAGACCATAGTTTATATGGCTATGGAAGAGAGAGTGGTAGTTCCTATCTTTATGGGGTTGGATAAGAGCCTTGAAAAAAAAACCTTGCCAGTCTTGAAATTACTTTTAACTTAGCAGTCCCATTATTTTATAACAAATTTATGATTAGGTAACGTATGCTAATATATAAATCATTTTAAAGTTTGAATAGTAAATCATTTAGGCCAACTAAATTCATATATGACTAATGTCTCTATATGTCATATTGCCGTCATCCAAGTGATAACTTAGCGTAAAAATGTGTACCGGGGTAGGCCTAAAATAAAGTTCAAAATAATTATAATTTAATTTTGTAAGTAGAATGGATCTTGAGCTTGAAGGCCTATATTAATGGACTGCACAAATGCACACCTAACATAAACTTAAAAAAGGAACAATTATTTGAGACTTAGCATAATAATTTCATTTTCCTTATTTTACAGGATAAAAACGCTAAGACTAAGACCCTGACGTTGAACCATACTAAATTAATTGTAAGAAAATGACTTCAGAAGATAAGATAGGTAATTTGGAGGAAGAAGCAATCAAAAGGAAAGAAAGGTTAAAAAATTTGAAGAGGAAAGTTGAAGACCATGATAAAGAAGAGAGCAAACCAACTTCAGAGGTCGGCACGCTGCCTAAGTAAGTGAAATTAATTCAACTTTTAAATCTCTTTAGTGTCTACCTAGGTTTAAGATAGGTACCTAAATTATCTTAGTTGTAACTGGGTACCTTAAGAACTATTCACTCTTACATCACTGTCAATAGTGGATGGAATCACTGAATGAAAATAACCGAATCAATCGGTTATTGAGGCTGAACAGAGTATTTCTTTTATTTTACCTAGATTCGGTTAAATTAGTCTTACTGAGCGATTCGGTGATTTAGTTTGTCACATCATCAGGTACGGTACCTAACTAAAATTTATTCAGCGATTTGTTCGACTAAAAATCACTGATTGACGCTAAATGACTAAATGCTATTCAGTTTCCCATAAGATAAAAATTAGTCATGGTTTGGGACAGTGAATAATGACTAAATTCAAATTCATTCGGTGATTCATTCAACTAAAAATAACTGATTGATTATTCAGTCATGGAAACTATTCGGTTATCCCATCACTAACTGTCAGACATTTATTGGCTGCCCAGTTCTTAATATTCTTGTCACCAAGACGAGAATCCTAATAAGGCCTGGATATAAAATGTTACCTACCTTATCCATCTTCAGTCTTAAGCTGGGTTTTCCCAGGCCAATGCAGGTGCAGGGGGGGCCATGGCAGGGTTTTAAGGGGAATTGGGAGTGCAGAGTCCATGCACCTCTTGTCTCAGCTATTTTGCTATTTTAATAGAACTGTTTTTCTTGAAGCGAAGCGAACCGCCATTAAAATCGCTTTCTCCACGTACCGCTTATGTGCCTTGGAAAACCCATCTTAAATATCATCGACTATTGGATACGCAAGTAGACATCCCATCTATATGGAACAGCTGTCGCCAATTTTTAACTAAAAAAGAACATAGCCTAGTTATGTGAGCCAGTCACAGAATGCGCTATGGGCTAAAATTCCATTTTCCACCTATTTTATTGTTGCTGACCAAGTTGATGGGTCATAACAGTTGCTATAGCTCACCAAAAGTCATTCCATTAGTTTGATTTTGTTGAACACTTTCGATTTCGGCTTAGTTTAGCCGAAGTTTACTCAAAAGCTCTTGGATATATTTTTATGAAACTTGGTAGCCTAGGCCTATAAACTTTAAGTCTACAGGTATAAACATTCTCAGAAAATATCTTTGATCAGGCTCATCAAATTTCAAAATGCTAGCCATTTACGTTTTTGTTTTAATGGCTGGTTTTATGGATTTTTACTCTAAAAATGTTTAAATGGCCGCCGTTTAAATTTGATGAGCCTGATCAAAGATATTTTCAGAGAATATTTATACCTGTAGACTTATTTTTTAGGAAAGGGTAGGAAAATCCATTTTTTACAAGTTTTAATTAATCTTGGGTTGTTTACAATCAATGTTTTTGAATGATTAAACTTTGTTTGGATTAGGCCCAGAAATATTGATGTCATAAAGAAGGAGATCAATAATCCTCAGGAAAACAATTTTAAATTACCACCACAACCCAGACGGATTTTATCCAAAGATATACAGATATGAATGACATAGATTGAGCACAATGTCATCATTGACCTAGGATACTGCAATTAGACTAACTATCCTTTTATGAAATCTAAAAAGTTGTTTGGCATGTGTTTAGTTGTGGTTACGTTTGGAGGCGCTGAATATTTTATAGTTAAAATAAATGAATATGGGGAATTACGGTGCACATTGATTCACATGCACATTGATTCTTTTTTTTTCCAAGATGGTGGTTTACTATGCGGAGACTCTTGTTTGGGCACTACAGTTTTGAGTGTTTCTTTTTAACTTACCTCGTTTTGCACTATCTCATTTCTACTTCGCTATTTTTCGCAAAAGCCTGTGAGTGAACTCCACTGTGTGTTTTCCAAAATCTACACTTTTTCAATAAACTATCCCTGTCTAATATCTGGCCATATCCCTTGTGACGTCACTAACATTTCTGTCTGATCTGGAAAGTCTTTTCATCAGTCATCTCACGCCAATTTTTTTCTCTGGCCACAGCCCTTTGAATATCAGGTTTGCTAAGCAACATAAATACTATATAAAAAGCACACTTCCAGTGGTGAACTGAGTAGCTACTGATTTATGAACTGTCTGCCTTCTCGCTGTTGCATTTCACAAAGCATATTTTTGAGATATAAAATTCAGTACATTCTATAATTATGTCTAATTCCTGTCCTATTTGTGTAAAGCAAGTCTTAGATACAGAAGATGGCTTGTGCTGTGATGCCGAATGTGAGAGATGGTTTCACAGAGAATGTGTGAAAATGTCTAAATCTGAATACCAACGATCTAGCAACGATAACAGTATAAAATGGTATTGTCATAGAACTGACTGTAAAAAGACGCTGCCAAGCCCAATAGATGCCAAGCTGGATGCCATTCTCTCTAAATTGTCCTCCCTTGCCACTAAAACAGAACTCTCAGAAGGACTACAACTTATAAAACAAGACCTGGAATTAGTGACCTCCAAATTACAGGAATTTGAGCCTCGTTTGGCCTATGTTGAATCGGAATTAAGCACTATCAAGGATAAACAGGTAGCGGGTAGTGATCAGCTTTTTGAAGATGTCTTATCCGAATGCAATGATCGTAATCGACGTGCAAAAAATGTTATTGTACATAACATCCCCGATTCCAACACAGTCTCAAAAACTGCGGATGCTGTTTTTGTCCAGGATTTTCTAGTTCATTTGAAGTCTAATGTTCAGTATTCAGATGTTCGTCATTTTAGATTGGGGAAAAAAAGGACAAATCGTCCTCTTATGCTTTGTATGCCGTCTGAAGGCGCTGCTATTTATATTTTCAAAAACTTCAATGAAAATGATGTTCCTATTAGCATGCGGGGAATATCAATCTCTCATGACCGAACTCCTCGAGAGAAGAGACATCTGGAGACTCTTCGTGCCACCTTAAAGTCCAAACAAGATGCCGGTGATACTTCCCTAACGATTAGATACAAGAATGGAACGCCTTCTATTGTGCCAAAAAACGAATAAATTCCAACGGTAAGCAGCAGCATGTTTCTCTGAATGTTTACTGCCAAAATGTAAATGGTCTTCGTTCGAAGCTCATCGAGTTAAAAAATAATTTATCTGCATGCCTTGATGATGTTATTCTACTATGTGAAACAAATCTCTCTCCTGATATCCCCGACTCCGAAGTCGTTGGCGATACTGACTTCATTGTTCATAGATGTGATAGGTCTGCTGCTACAAGTCACAAAAGTTCTGGTGGAGGAACCCTACTTGCAGTTCGTAAGAAGCTTATGTCTAAGCGACTATACTCTGGATTCAACATTGAAAGTGTCTTTGCCCTTGTGAAATTGGGACCTGGTTTTGATCTTCTTCTGGCTTGTGTCTACATTCCTCCTTCAAGTCCTCTTTCTGTTTACCGTGAATTCTGTGATGCGGTTACTGAGACAGTCGAATTGGCAAATTTCCCAAAGAAGACACTCATTTTTGGAGACTTCAACTTGCCTCACTTCGATGTCAACTTACCTGTATCTGGCCTTCCTCAACATTGCTGCGAATACCTCCGTGACATGTCTTCTCTGCACTCTCTCTTCCAGATAAATCATGTTCAAAACCATAGAGGAGTAACATTGGACTTGGTCTTCCATTCTGATAGTGAAGTGCAAGTTATCAGGGCCAACGATTGGTTGATTAAACCTGAAATTCATCACCCTCCTCTGTCCCTTACTCTTGAGTGCTATATGCCTTCTACTTGTGACAACAGCTACAGCGGCTACAACTTGGGGAAATGTGACCTCCCCGCTGCTTTTATAGCCCTTCAGGAAGCAGATATGGGATTTATTCACCAGCCGATCTCAACTGATGAAAAGTTTGATCTTTTGGAAAGTTCCTTAGAGAAAATCGTCAAAAATGCAAGTCCGATGAAGAAATTTGGTATCTCACGCTTCCCTAGGTGGTTTAATGATGACCTAAAAAAATGCATTATTGAAAAGAAAGCTGCGCATGCACGTTTCAAGAGAAGTTTCAATCTTGTCCATTATTATGAATTCTCAAGGCTGAGAGATAATTGTAGGTCGCTGTCTCGTGAATGCCACATTCGATATTTATCCAATGTTCAATCAAACATATCTTCTAATCCACGAGCTTTCTGGGGACTAGTTAAGGCTCAAAGAAATACTCCTGACATGCCGTCTAGTCTGCATTTGGATGACGAAGTAGCCAGTGACACAACAAGCATATGTCAGCTGTTTTCCAGTTATTTCAACTCGGTCTACTCTCCATCGTCACGAGTTTCACCTAGCTTTAGCTATCCCGTCTTCGATTCTCTCTGTGTCATAACAACCTCAACTGAAGAAGTTCTCAGCAAGCTTAAGAATCTGGACACTACAAAGGGAGCTGGAATTGACAATATACCGCCATCTATGCTTCATCACTGCCGATCTCTCTTAGCTGAACCCCTCACAGTGTTGTTCAACGAATCACTTAACAAAGGAATCTTCCCTAGCTCTTTAAAGTCGGGCTTTATCATTCCTTTACATAAAGCAAATGATCCCAGCGACATACGGAACTACCGTCCAATCACTATTCTGCCGGCAATTGGCAAAGTCTTTGAAAGTATCGTGGTAGATAGACTGAATCCTTTTCTATCCAAAATAATCCATCCTTCCCAACATGGCTTTATGAAAGGCAAGTCTACTGTCTCCAATCTCCTGCTCTTTCAAGAATATGTCTTGTCTGCCTTTCGCAAGAACTACCAAGTTGATGCAGCCTACATTGATATGGCAAAAGCCTTCGACAAGGTCGACCATACAATTCTTGTGTCTAAGTTGCTGGGCTACGGAGTGGCTGAACCTCTTTTGTCATGGATTTCTAGTTATCTTCAAAAACGTTCTCTTGTCGTGAGGATTGGTTCTACCACTTCCACTCAGTTCTCACCTTCTTCAGGAGTTCCACAAGGTTCTTTGCTGGGACCTTGCCTCTTCAATGTTTTTGTCAATGACCTACTAGACAATTTAACTGTAAAGGCCTTACAATTTGCTGACGACCTGAAGATTTTCACTACTGTGTCTACACCAGAAGACTCTCAAGAAATTCAAAATAGCCTTTCTGAAATTGAGGATTGGTGTGTCAGGAATAACATGTCTGTAAATCCCAGTAAGTGCTCTTGTATAACCTATCACCGCATCAAATCCCCAGTCATGTACGTATACTCCATTTCTGGTACATCCATTCCACGGTCCCAGTGTATAAAAGACCTAGGCGTTATTTTTTCCAGCGACATGGGATTTTCTGGGCATATAGATCACATCAGTAACAAAGCAAACAAGATGCTTGGTTTCATAGCAAGATTCTCCAGAGGCATCGACAACCCTTCTGCTCTTCGCTCTCTGTATTGTTCCCTTGTGAGACAGCTAGTGGAATATGCAAGTCCCGTGTGGTCGCCTTACACTGTTGGCAATAGGACGAGACTGGAGGCTCTACAAAGGCGTTTTCTTCGTTTGGTTGGTGTCCGGCTGGGTTTTGCCTATCTTGATGTGCCTGTGGAGGAACTGTCCAGCAATCTGAACTTGTCACCTCTTGCCCTGCGACGTGACGTGGCTGATGTTATTCTTCTCTGGAAGATAGTCAATGGTCACATGAACTGTCCAGATCTCCTAGCTGAAATCGACCTCAGAGTGCCTACAAACACAAGATCTCGAGATCTGCTGGGTCGAAGATACCACTCAACCAACTTCGACTTCAACAGTCCTTTCGCAAGGTTTACTCGCCTGGGAAATCGAGTTGCGTCCGGGTGTGACCTGTTTTTCGATGGACTTCAGCAGGTTCGTCGGCAGGCCTCCTCTCTTCTTCTTTCTGGGAAAGACTAGTAATTAATTTATTGTTGTTTGTTAACCTTTATTTTCTGTTGTTGCTATGTTAGAGTATTTATTGTTGTTTGTTAATCTTATTTTTTTTTTGTTGTTACGCTTTGGATATTTATAACCTGTTATATCTTTGTTAACTTAATATTTATCATCAAATTTTGCTTACCTATTTTGTTGTATTCAACCATCATGTTTATCTTTGTAAATTGGCTGCTGCCGTTGGAAATAAAATAAATAAAATAAATAAATAAATGAGGTTGGTTTAATTATTAAGGATATTAGAACTGATAACGGAATGGATAATAAACATAGACAATTAATTACGTCACTAGCTTTACTAGCGTGTTTTACGTTTTAAATTCCTTCAACATGTGAAAAGTTCTTTTGTTCAAATGAATATTATTTTATTTTTGACTCAGCTGTTAACCAAAACAAACTATATGTTGTTGTTTTTACTTTTCTTTGTTTACACTTAATTTATTTAGCAATTGATGCAGTGAAATTGATATAAAGGATATGTGTGGACGATTTGTTTAATGATGTCAGGACACCAACGTTATAATTATGTGTACTGTGAATTTTATTGGATGTTTTCGTTTTATTTTAGGGAATTTCTATTCAGACCTACTGGAAATTGTGTATAGTATGAGTAATTGTATTGTGTTGATATTTATTATGGAAGAGGCAGGTATGCGATGGAATTGGAAGTTGATATCGTTGACTAGGCCTATACACTTTCTCAATTGATAATTGCTCTTTCTACTGTAGGCTGTTATAAAATTTGTCTTTATACGTGTAAGCTAGCTGTTCTGATTTATACACAGTTTTAACTGACTGTTCCCGTACGTAGAACGGGCTAACACCTCGTACTGTTTTATTAGTTTTTAGGTATGTTATTTTTTTATAAAAACTTCAACTAGGCTATACAAAATGTAATTACTGTAATTGTTTGAATTTTGTCTCCTTGGAAACAGTAGGCATGACTAAGATATATCTTTTCCCGCTGTAGTAGCTTCATCCCAACTTAATCTTTAGGTGTTAATTAGTGGTTAGCCTACTTTGCTCGCCAAAAAAGATGCATTTCACGATGTCCAAGTGTCACGACATCCAATGATATAAGACAGTGCCGTGACTTCCAATATAAAATATTGGACTGTTGCACGGCATCCAAAAGTACAGTAACTTCAATGATCATAGTCTTTCTACAAGCTCTGGATGTCATGAGATTGGTCGATGTGAAACAGCACACTTTACACTCTTAAAAAAGTAGCAGTTGAACCACGTCCAATAGCACTGCCAGTTGCACGACGACCAATAGCTCAGCACTGTCCCATGACATCCAGAGTGCCGGCACACTGTGAAAACAGCCAAACTGACTGTAGCGCATACTAACCTAGCCTAACTGACCCTAACCTTAACTAAACAAACCTAACAGTCTAATTTACTTAAGTATGGATGAGCTCTGGACGTCGTGCAACAGGGTTGAGCTATTAGACGTCATGCAACTAGCAGTGGCTTTGGACGTGGTTCTACTGCTAATATTTAAGAATATAACGTACGCTGTTGCATGACGACCATTCTCATGCCGTCCAAAGCTTGTAGAAAGACTATGTTTCTTGCAGTCACTGTACTTTTGGACATAATGAGATTTGGACATCGTGCAACAGTCAAATAGTTTATACTGGACGTCGTGCAACAGTTGAATAGTTTATACTGGACGTCGTGAGACAGCTCAAAAATTATATTTTGTACGTTGTGACATTGACTTATTTCATAGGACAACGTGTAACACTCCCAAAATAGAGGGTCGTTTGTTCAATCCTGAGGGAAGTGAGAAGCTATATGATGGTTTGAAACTGGTCCTTGTTCATTGGGTCTTCAAACAATTATCTTGTCTAAAGAAATGACTGATCTTAGTAACTTAGGTACCCAGATCCACTGGATTTTACACTCACCCTGTATTCATATTCAGATTAAAGTATGTAGGCCTAGATGAAGTGTTTACGCCTATTACTGCTTGGCTTAGTAAAGTGATTATTAATTCTTTGTGTTTCTCCAGGCCCAAATTCCGGAGTTACGTTCCTGAGGATGAATCACTGAAGGAGAACGTTGTTCCTGCAGCTAAACCTGGAGATGTAGAAAGTGAAGTCAAGTCCCAACTAGAGACAGCTAACTCCAAAGTGGTCATTGAAGAACTGGTCAGTATTTAGTTATATAATAGTTATGAAGGTTCTTTCTTAGTTAGATTAACAGTTAGATAACACGTTCGCTGCGGGCCACTCACCGGTGACTGCTCTAGTTCCTTTCTGCCACACTAAATGCTTACCGGTGAGTGCCGGTATCCCCTACATTCCATTTAATTTTTGCGCAGCAGCAAACCGGAAAGAACGGGTATTTTTATGCCTGCGTTTAGCTAGGAATGGGTGCTTTATTGTGGTGTAGGTTAGTAGTAAATTTCCTAGTAAAATCTGTAATAAAATAAAATAGAAGAAAGAAATATTGGCACAGTTTAAAAATAAAATAAAATACATCATTTATCTCTATTAAATACATTTTGGGTGATTTTGTATTTGTATCCAACATATATTTAGTAAAAATGTAATGAGGACAATGGAGACATTGTTTAGTTGTATTATGCTCAGGCCACATTTCCCTAAGGGTGTACACGACAGTTGCCAGGGGCCTCTCTGGGGTCTGCAAGGAATTTTTTTACTTAGGCAAATGAACTTCACAAATAATCTGTTAGTGGGTTAATATTTTGAGCCGAGCTTTTACCTGCGCGATCTCAGTATTATTGGACACGTAGTTTTCTTGTGATGGAACAACAGACTAACACAAACAATCATTCTCTCCCATTATAATTGTACTAGTGAACCTGTTGCTTGAATTCAAGCAATTGCAAAGTATTACGGGCGTTATTTCAAAACAAATAACAGTCCGATGACAAAAGAGTCAACTCAAAGATAATGTAACCAATCACTCCACTCCAGTTATAGAAACTGAAAACGAACGCTTTTGTGTGTGTCATGTTTTTATTATGAACAGCTGTAATTAATACTAATACAATTTATTCGTCCGTTTAAGTAAACAACATGTTTTATCCATAAGAGATACATTGGGATTTTGATGGCTTGTGTGGCAAAGCCCGAGGACCAATTCCTGTAATAAAGATTACAGGAATTGGTGAAAGGGGGTGTCTACTCAAACAATACTTCATTTTGACTCATCGTTTGTAAAAATTTGTCCATTATTAACAGAGGGGTAGTGTTTCATAGAAATCGCCTTCAAGTATTATATATAAGGATTACATTATTTGGATTAGTTAGATAGTTCTTTAAATATGCCTTAGACTCCTTAGTTATTGATTAGTTATCGGTATATATGTGCAGCATGTACAGCAGCATTAGTAGCTGAGTGGTTATAGTGCTCGACTAACAATTAAAAGGTTGCCAGTTCGATCTTGTGAAACTCAGTAGCTTTAAGATGGTTCGAAACTGGACCCAGCTGTCCCTGATCATTGGGCTCTAAGGAAATGATCCTGACTACTGAAACACCTGATCTTAGTCAGTAAAAAGCTACACAGATCGTCTCAATCCACTCTACACCCATCCTCCACTCATATTTGGGTTGAAATACGCAACTAGGTGGCAACCCCATCTCTATTAATTGAGTAGGCTAATAAACCCAAATTAGCAACCCAAAATACTTGTTTCTAATGAAGGAATTCTATCATTGGCTATTGGATACTGAAGTAGACATCCCATCTATATGGACCAGCTGTTGCCAATTATTTAATGAAAAGAGCATAGTTGTTGTGTGAGCCAGTCATAGAATACGCTAGTGTCTAAAATGCTATTTTGTACGTTAAATTTTGTCGCTACCATAGTTTATGGGTCATGAAAGTTGCTATAGCTCACAATAAGTCGTTCAATCAGACAACTTGGAAAATAGTTCTTGTACTCAAAAGAAATCAGTAAATTGGATCAGCGCAATCTGTAGGTGGCTCACATCAACTACGACAGTTTTGTTTAAACAACTTGCGACAACTTTAACATGGGGATGGAATGTCTAATAGACAAAGGTTCTATTGAAAGAGTTTGTTTCTAACCCAAAGTAATAAACCCAGCGTTCCAACATTGTAGATTCAAGCTTGACTTCTAGGTTGCAGCTCATGTCAACTGTTTTTGTTGAGATTCACTTGCAGAAATAGGTGTATATCAAAGTTTGTCATGGTAGCCTACTTGTGATGGTCCAAATATCAACCTTTAATATGTTAAGATCCTTGTTAAACAATCAAAGGTAAAAATAAAATGAATGTCAAAAATTAATAATTTAAAGCCTTTATTTCTGAGTCTCTCAGTACAAACACTGCTTTAAAGATTTAATGTTGTCAAATAATAATAACGTAAATGCAGTTAATTATGATCAAAACAACAAGTATGATAAAATAAGAACCAAACATAAAATTATTTTACAATTTTTTTCATGTATCTTTTGAAAGCTAGGACCCCCAGCTGTTTGAGATGCTTGGTGATATCATTGTAGAGCTTTGGGCCAAATTAAAACTTTTACCCTCTTTTAGCTGCACTTTTGAAAAGTGGAGCAATGCCTTTGCTGGGTCTCGTGTTGAGTCGCATCCCCTTGTGCCACAAGCTTCCGCACCAAGTAGGCTCTTGTTGTACTAAGATCTGATGGCTGAGGCTGCAAGTCTGCACCCTGCACACAGCATCAATTCAACTTAATCTTTAATCAAATCATGCAAAGCATAGATTAATGTGTCATTGTTATTTTAAACTACTTGAGTCTAATAAAACGAATATATACAAAAATATTTACATTCATTGACAACAACCCCATAGCATCCTGAGAAGGAGATACCCTGATCACACTTATGGATAGTGTAACTGAAACACACTGCAGATTTCTGCATATTTTGCAAACGGCATCTATTCCCCAGAGATCCTGTTGCCGTAAGTAAAAAAAACTGTATTGAGCACTGTCAACGCTATTGACTGTTTCAGCTTGGCTGTTCCTGGTAGGATATTTTTGTAGCGATACAGATCACACAATCTTTATTTATTTATTTTAATATTTAATTATATTTACACACTGTTGTGTTGCTATGTTTCAGGACCTTTCAAATTTGGCTCCTCGCAAACCAGACTGGGACTTGAAGCGAGACGTTGCGAAGAAACTCGAGAGGTTAGAGAAGAGAACTCAGCGGGCCATCGCAGAATTGATTAGAGATCGGCTCAAGACAGGACAAACGGACCTTGCCACCAGCGTCAACATAGGAGCTCGTGCAACGCAAGAAGATGTTGACGAGGACTAGACAGTTGTAGATCTAAGGCTGTAAATATCTATGTAAATATTACCAATACATTTTTGTACTGAACCTAAATAATTTATATTTTGTTAAACACCTTTGTGGTAACCTATTTAGTATTTACCTAACTAGTGTAATTTTGCATCAGGAGAAAAAGGTAATGGTGTGGCTCTTCGGAGGTAGAGTAGGAAAACTATTATGGTTATACCATGATGGCATATCAAAATGAAGCTTAGGGTGTGTATATTTGCCGAAAAGTATTGGTATAGACAAATTTCTTAAGGGCTCTGCCCCACAGGCCTATTTCCAAAAGGCTGCGCCTGACATTATATTCCTAGTAGTTTTTAGGCTGCTGATAATTTTTAAAACGTATGCTAACATCGTTAATAAGACACTGAACATTTTGTTCAAAATACCATCGTGTTTGCCGTGACACAAGAAATAACACCAATATGACAGATTTTATAATGCGAACAAAGGTGGTTTTTAAACAGATTTATATTTGTAGACAACAATTTCTCCCGTGACTGGTAGCGGGCCGCCTGGTGTTTGTACGATATTTCCCAGCTGGGCGGGAGCGCGTGCGAATCTGCGGCGTTGCCGATGTGTACCTGGCCACCACACTGACATTGCTTCAGTATTCACTCACGGCAAACTAATGAGTAAATAATTATTTAGTTATAAATTTACTAACAAAATATTCACTAGTCATGAAACAAATACATTATAATAAGATAACTACAAATATAAATCTACACATTAAAAAAAAAAACACCTTTGTTCACTGCGAACGCCTGTTCGGTGCGGCAAGCCTAGTCATCATTAACAGAGTAACAGACGAGGAAGAATCAGCGACACCAATTTTGAAAAACAACTTCTTTTAAAGTCTAATAGTCATTTAAAGTAAATTTTGTTGTAGTAATGAATGTTTTTACATTACATGTAATGTAAATGTGACGATGTTTATTTAATATTTAATTAAAACACAATAATTAGTAACCAAGATGTGTCATTGTTTTATTACATATGAAATCCTTTAAAACAACCGTCCAACAAACAGCTATCTTTTACAAATGTCAAAAACTAATTTTATTTTCTATCAGTTAGTTTTTCAACTAACTAATAACTTCTATCAGTCACTTTTTAAACTAACTAACTAGTCACTTCTATCAGTTACTTTTTATGGGACTAACTTCTAACTAGTTAGAAATTTTGACTAACTTTCCCAAGTATGAAATAATAGTGTGTTGATTAATTATTCTTTTCAAAATTGGAGATCAATACACCTGAGCAAACTATAAGGCTTGTTCACACGAGCGACTCATCTAGCTCACTGACATTGACTAGCATTTCTCGCGACCTGGCAACACACCAGTTCACACGAGCGACGAGTTCACCGACTAGATCGCAGGTGTGACAAAAATGAATGTGCTTCGATAAACAATGTTTTTGATAAGTCAATGTTTTGCTCACATCAAACATATCTATTATATTATTAAAGTGATACAATCAAATTTTATGTAAACGCTTAAGGCCATTTACCATATAAAAATATAGGCATATAGCATATCAAAATGAAGCTTAGAGTGTGTAGATTTGCCGAAAAGTATTGATATGGACGAATTCCCTAAGGGCTCTCCCCCACTGGCTGATTTCCAAAGGGCCTTGCATGTTTTGAAAGTTAACATTATTCGATTAATTTAGTGAACAACAGCTGGCCAATGCAATTGACAATATAGTTTGTTTGTTTACATTTTTGTTTACTTATTTTTTATTTACTTTTATGTTCTTAAACGAGGTGCGGTGAATGGACAGTGAAGCTATTTCTAGCTGTTTGTTACAAGTAAGTGATTAAGGTGTTCGAAACACGATGAATATGAGATTAACAAACCATGTATGTTGTTCGTTCCAAGAGGTTATCACCGATCTTTAACATCAGGTCACCAATTCATTGAAAAATATTTAAGTAAAGTATTAAAGACGTCGTGAAAGAGAGCGGCGAGCTCAGATACAACCGTACCCACCTTGGCCACCAGACGTAAGGTATGAAGGTTCCACTGTCTTTAACATCCTTTCAGATGACAATTTCTCGAACTTGGACCCTTTAAATGAAATGGGGAAATTCAAAGTTGATTAAATTAATTTAGACTTCTGTTTACCCATGAATTCGTGGGTAGAATCTCTTGTATTGATATATTTGATGATTCTTGCAGCGATGGTGAGTTAAAGATGTTTTGTTGCATTGATGTTGTGGACAATAAGATGTTTTAGACAATTATCAAATTTTTTTTGTAACCAAATTTGCATTATACAAATAAAATTCAGTTAACAAACCATCGATCAAACTTTTATAAAAGTTTAGTTCCAAAAGTTATTATTGTTAAGAGGATTTAGGTCAGTTTCAAATTACTTTAGAAACCTCTCAGTCGTTTATCAACTGATATTTTGTTTATTTGTATTATTGGACTCGTAATACACAATTTACCAAAAATCTGTATGCAATTTAGAACATTGCTTATATTCTTTCAATCAATAACGCTCAAATTAATAATTCTGAACACAGAACACAACAAACTTCCTTCCACGAATTTGTCTTTGTTTTCTTATTAGTGTAATGTACGCACACATTTTGAAAATTAACATTAAAATCTAAAATGTGAGGAACCACACAGAAAACCATTATTTACTGTACAAATTTAAAAAAATCACCATATTGTTTGACAAAAGCTGCACAACACACTGTCATCTTGTACATGAGAAGCGCCTGCATTTTGTCCACGCAACACCCTCTTTTCACTCAAGCATTGCGGGTTGCGTTGCGCAGATGAAGGAACCAACAGAAGTCCATCATAGACTACATCTACTGAATATCGATTAGATATTTGAGTTTTAAGGTTTTAGCATTTAAGTCCAATAAACCTGAAGTATGTACACAAACCTATTTTTTTCATTAATCACCATTGAAAATCAAATTATAAAAAATGTTAACAAAATTTAAATAAAAGTAAAAAGGGAGTAGTTTTAAATCGTACACAATTTACATAATGAGTAATATTCTCAAAGCATTGTTTAGATCATTTTGGATCATCCTGTATACGGTAATTTTTAAATAAAAAGATACACTCGTATAATAATGTATTCATATATTTATATTCATTCATGATGGGGAAGCCACCTTACATTGTAATCAATTACAGCTTCTGTGGTTTTATTCAAAAACCTACAGAACAGTGAATTTTCCTCATGTTTATATAATGCTAGTCACGTTTAATGTATTATAATATAATACATTAAAATACATTGGACATTATTTGTGGTGTTGCGAAAAATATTACTGGACAAATATAAGTTTAAAACCTACAAAAAAACTACAACTTGTACTACTTTAGTACCACGAAAAACCATTATTTTAATCCTATATTTTGATTGAGTGTGATTAAATACAAACGATAATAATATTAGATTAACAAAAAATATAACTAAATATCAAATAACGAAATAACATAAAGCAGACTTAATAGTTGGGATAAAATACATAATTAGCCATTCATTATAGTCCACAGTTTGTTCATTTGCAATGACAAGTTTTGCCTAATTGATATGGCAACTTGAGAATCAGCTGTTCTTAAGTTCGTGAATGCTGATTATTGCTGAGTCAGAGTAGTTCGTAAGAGTTGCGTTCTTTTCCAGAAAAGTCGTGAAACAAGAAGCATCTCTTCAATGGTTAGTGATATTAAGTTTGTGGTTTCGTATTCTTTATCAAATAAATTAAGCTAAATGTCTAAAAATTCATTACATACTACGAAAAAGGCTGTATCACTTTTTCTCCCTAGGTAAGAATATATTTAGAACATTATTAGAGATTAAACTTTTAGAGTTTTCAGTACAACTAATACACGAAGTAGAATTCGTCAGAGTAATTTTACACAATTCGAAGAAGAAACGTTCTTGTTTATGTACACTATGAGTAATACAGGTACAGAAGGAAATTATTCTCTTTTTAGCATTTGATAAATCAATTAAAATATAACGGTGATTAAAAGTGCTGACAACTAACACAAGCTTGAAACCTTTATTGAAAAGATTGGTTACGACATATCTTTAACAAATATATTACGATTTCGAAGGGGATTCAGAACTCTAATGAGTTTGAATTACCACAGATTGCCAATTATTTTATGCCCTCACTAAACTGTTATGCAGTAATTAATTACTGTGATGATTAGACTATAATGTAGACCAATATTTTAATACCGATAGCAACACATTGATCCCATAAATGCAGGTATTTACACCAATTATTTAGCAATAATTTGTATATGCATAAACTAACCTACTTCGAAGAGGTCGTTGATAGTTTAAACTAAGGTGTAAACATTATTATAAAGACAAGGAACTACATAGACAAAATAAAATCTAATCAACTTTATTGTCTTCATAAAAATAATATGCAAAGTTATCGATAATGAACACTCTAAAATAATTAGGAGTTACAACAAAATCTTAAATCAAATTGACAGAAATTTTCCTAATTTTGTAGAAGCCAATTAATTTAGTAGGTTGGTACACTTGGGCGTCAGCAGCTGTTGCTGATTCATTGTCTGCGAATTCGAAGAATGTTCTAGATAGATATTGAGTCGAAAGTAATGTATCCTCTCTCTCGGTTGGTTTGCAAATAAGTACAGAATCAAAACTAAATATGATTGTGTGAAGAGTTTATTCAAAGATATTTAAGTATTTAGCAGAAAGAAGTAAACAGGAAATGCAGGAATAGTAAAATCTTTGCTTTGAAGGTAACGACTTTGTTTTTTTAGGCCAATGTAAGGTAAAATAGTAACGTTTACGAAACACTTGATGTGGTTGTAATTTTTAACACAGAACATAAAATAAATTTTGTATTTGTATTTTTGTTAAAGGTTTACGGTTTATTTGTTTTTTTGAGTGACACCTGATTCTATTGGTACTTGTAAATTGATGAACAATAATGCTGGAATAACATATATGTTTTAGTATATAATTTTATTGAGATAGAAAACATAAACATTTGATGTTGATGACTGAGTGAGCATCTTAAATATAACAATGCATTTCGCATAGGCTGGGATATTAATTAACCAAACCACATTCAAATGTATAGCCTAATTATTATGGGCCATACAGTCTGTACAATTATTTTAACCTTACAGTTAATTTGTTAATTAATTCAGTCGTTTAGGGGACAATCAATGATTAAAAA